TATTTATATATATATATATATATATATATATATAGATATATAGATAGATAGATATACATACATACACTGTATGTGCGTGTGAGTGTGTGTGCATGTGCGTGTGTGTTTACACAGGGGTGGTGTACCAATTTAATATATCATTACAGTAAAAACAGCCTCCAGTGCACCTGACCTGTAATGTGCCAGTATCATCATCTTCTTCTGATCAATTACAAATGAGACGAACACGAGCACATGGCTCCAGGCCCCGTCCCATCTTACACTCACTGTTCAACTCCACCCAGTCTGAAGGGCTTCTGGCTCTTGGTACCAGATTAAGTTCCACGTTCTATACTTTGGTAAACGTCTAATCACATTGTCTTCTTCTTTTTCTTTTTGGCTTTGTCCATTTTTTCAGGGGTTGCCACAGTGAATCATTTTCATATTGCCCTGTCCTCTGCATCTTCTACTCTTGACTCTTTGGCCTTCCTCTCTTTCTCCTACCTGGTAGCTCCATCTCTAACATTCTTCTACCAATGTATCCACTGTCCCTCCTCTGCACATGTCCAAACCATCTCAATCTGGCTTCTCTAGCTTTTCCTCCAAACCTTCCTGTCTGTGTTGTCCCTCTAATGACCTCATTCCTAATCCTGTCCATTCTTGTCACTCCTAAAGAGAATCTTAGCATCTTTAACTCTGCCACCTCCAGCTCCGCCTCCTGTCTTCTGCCTATTGCTACCGTCTCCAAACCATACATCATGGCTGGTCTCACCACCGTCCTGTAAAACTTTCCCCTCACCTTAGCTGACACTCTTCTGTCACAGATCACTCCTGACACTTTTCTCCAGCTGTTCCATCCTGCCTGCACTCTATCCTTCACATTCTCTGAAGGGCAAAAAAGCATAAAAATATCATTTGAGAGGCTTAAAAGTTGTTTTTATATGATGGAGTATCTCAGTAAACCACACATAATGGTTATGAATAAGGGTTTGAGTTGTTCTAATAAAAATACACAGGAATGACAGAAGTTCAGACTGCTCCTTGGGTTTCAAACAGCAGTTGTGAAATCAGAAAATGCGGACGCTGTCTGTCTCTGTGGACAGATGTCAGAGCAGAACGTGTCTTTTTAAAGCCAGTGGTTTTCCTCCCTTTGATCCTGATTGATCATGTTTGTGGGTGTGTGATTTTTTCTGTGTGTATTGATTGTGAGTGAAGGCAGGCCTGAGTGATGGCACTGAGGCTGTATGCAGCTCACGCCTGTGTTTTTACAAACACACATAAACAGCATGTCAGTCCTGGCGTCTGTCAGCAGCACAGCGTTTCCTCAGGATTTAATACCAGTCTATTGGCATGTGTGCTCGCTCGTGTGATTTTGTGTGTTAGTGCGTGTGGGGTTGTTTGAGGTGATGAGCCATCGCCTTTAACGACTCTCCATAAAAACACTTTCTGCTCTCCTTGGACTTTACAAATGCCTCCTCACTGCTCCTCGCTCCTCGCCGCTGCTTCTTTAACTTCTCCCACTCGTGCTTGCCGCGGAGAAGGTGAGCCTTCACACAGCCCCAGAGGATCTTGAAAAACCAAACATTTTCTTTTTCTTCTTTCTCCTTTCATCCAGACAAAACAGGTCCATGTTCACACCCCAGACTAGTCTGTAGTTAAACCCAGCTTATTGTTAGGAAAATGCAAGAAACTTGAATGGTAGAGATGCACCATTCGACCGGCCAGTGATCTGAATCGACTGGTGTCGGAGAACAGGGGATTAAGTTCACACTCTGACACGCTGTGAGCTAATATGCTGTTAGCTTGGAAGTACTTTGCAGTGAGTCAAGAAGGTCCAAACTGGCTATTTGTAATATAGGAAACACTGATGTAACATTAGGGGGAGCCACTGAGACGTTTTACAGAACAACCTGTCTTTTTTCCTTTTTTCCTTCGTTTGTTTTTTTGGGGGTGGGTTTTCAGACAGAGCATCGTTTCAAGTTGTGCAAGAGTTTAGCATGTAGTAGATGAGAAGAGAAATCAGGTCCTTGTCGACAAAGCAGAAATGGTTTTGTTTTGAAGGTTTTTGAGTGACGTTTGTGGGAAGTGTTTCATAATTACCAGATATGAAAATAAGATTTTCTGCTGAATTACACCTTTTTGTCTTTTTGTATATGCCATCAGTTGATGGAAATCAGAATTGGGGAAAATTGGTATCGGCAAGAAACACCAAAAAATTGGGAACCAAATTGGCCAAAAATGGTAAACTCTACCCAAAGGTCCTAGAATGTGTTGGTGAAATAATTTAACAATGTAGGTTTCTTTTGCAGTGATTTAATTAGCATATATTATAAACGTCTGATCTTCTTTTATTTTCTATCTGAAGCTGTTTTTCTAGGTTTACTTGCTGCTGTTTAACATTTATAGGGTCATTTTTGTCCATTCTTTGTTATTCAGCCTTTTCTCAGAGAGTCTATATGACAAATAACTATCACTGAGTCTTTTCTTCACACAGACCATGTTAGTGTGAAGAAGCATCACCAATTCCTCAAGTGCAATATATGTAGGTAAATAGCCTATTAGGCCTAGCTGCTGGCTGTTATTGTGTTACCAGTGGATTCTCTCTGGCTGAAAGCACACACTGCTCTGTCTCTTTCCATCTCTTTCTCTGTGTGATGAGTTTTGTTCAACCATCTGCAAAACTCTCTCTCTGTGTATTTGTCCTCTGCAACTTGAGATTGTTTGTTTTTCAGCTCCAAAAATGGAAAAAGTTAAAAAGAGTTTATTGTTTTGCTCTGTGTGCCGCTTCTAAGAGACTCCGGTGTCCAACCTGTCAGTCTGTGTTAAAGCTGACAGTTGCACGGTTATTTATTCATTTATTTGATGCTTGATTATTTCATTTAAGGGTGATGGTGTGGAACTGAAATTGACTAAGACTAAAAATCTGCCTTATTTTTCACACAGTCATTTCCCACAAAAAAAAAAAACCTTTTGAAACATTTTGTTTGCAGTGACATGAGAGATACTGTACTGCTGCCTTCATGTCAGACTGTGTCACTGACATGTATCTGAGTTGAGACAACACTGGATCTGCTGCATCGTTATCTTGTAATGTTGCTATTAAATTTGTTGAAAGAGCCTGAAGTTTTGAAGGTGATAGAAGGTTGCCTGTGACCTAATAAAGTCGTAACTAAACTGGAATGTGCTGCCCCATCCAGGTACTGAGGTTTGTTCAGGAATGGTGCAGCCTCACTGCTATGAAGAAGAAACTGTTGCGACGCAGTGGCCTCCTCTTTCACAGCCCCACACTCGGCCTGCAGCAGCTGGACTCAGCCAAGCACCCGCACTCCAGCACCAAGAGGTCAGACACACACAAAATAAATAAATACATAAATGAATTATATCACATTTGTGTGAGTGAAGCAACATGAAACATGTCTTGGAAAAAAGAATATGACCTGGACAAAACCTGAATGGAAAATGTAGGCAATGTTATTAAAAAGATAACTAAAAGGTCAGCAAGGCCATATGTATTATTTAGGCTTGCATGACCAAAATTGAACGTTAGTCTTCTAATGTCAGTCTGTTTGTACACTGATTATAATACCATGTTCACCAATCAGATGGATCCAAGAGCTGATTTGTTGTAGATATAACATAATATTAATAGTGTGCATACCTAATATAAATGATTAGAAACGTGCCTTGAATTTGACCAAAATAAAAAAAAAGCTTGGGAACACATTTAAAAAAGAACTGCTGGTAATAATAACTGTTACTAAATTTGCCATATTTATGTAACAATTAGCCAAAAATGGTTCATGTTCCCAAGAACCACTGCAAACGTCTAACGGTTGACAATGAGTTCAGTTAGTTCAAGTAAAATGGTAGCCAGAAAATAAAGGCCTGACAAAATGAGAAACCTGGAGTTTGGCCCCAGGACTCACTGGTGGTTTCTGTGCGAAAGCTACTAAAATATGTCTTCTGTAGTTGTCCTTCTGTAGGTTCCTCACAACAAGACTGTGTTTCCTGGTGTGTGTGGGGGTGTTTTAAAATGTGTCAGCTGAGACATTGGAGGACGAGCACTGTGTGTGTGTGTGTGTGTGTCTCTGTGCATGTGAGCTCTTTTGTGTGTTTCTTTCCGCTGACAAACAGGCATTGTTGTTGCCACACTAATTACAGCTGGCGTGGATAGAAGCAGAAGACTTTGCCAATTACAGGGTAGTCTCTAACACACACGCACGTGTCTGTTTGTGTGCGAATCTGTGACACACACACACGGTGTGTTGTTTCTCCACCGGGGAACAGTGTTTGGGTGCATGAACCTAATCACAGTGCGAGTGGGAGCCCATTGGTCTCAGCTTGATTTGATACCTGTTTGATTTATCCTCTAATCAGAACCAATCAGGCTCCAGCGTTGGCTCAGAGGGACAGGGTTCAGCTTCACCTTCTCGTGCCTCGAGACTCTCACTTTTCACTTAGTTGACTGTTAATCTACTCTGGCTGTGTTTCTTGATACAGGATCTCTTCTTGGTGGTGATTTGCAGTGATATCAGGAGAGATGAGAGAGGATGTTAATCTGCTTTGAGTTACTTTTTCAACCACAACACTGTCTGAGTTTATGAGCATTTTTACAACCCCAAGAACATGAGAAGCAGGGTGTCAGTAAGAGGAATGAATTATAAAAAAAAAAAACCCACAGGTGAATAGTCTGGAAAGTTGCTTGTTAACAGGAAGTGTCACTTATTGATAAGGTCGTATTTAGTTTTCATCCAGGTTGAATTACTCTTCTGCTGCATTTTAGGGGAACATGATTTATTCAGCTTCTAATCTCACAGTAAAAAAATTGTTTGTCACTGGATAGTTGTTTTTGTCAGAAATATAAACCAGGGCTTCTGTAACTAGTTTAACACTAAAGAGAGCAGCAGAGGAAGCAGTGAACAGAATTACTGCCCTCACACACACACACACACACACACACACACACAGTTGGACTCCAGTTTAGTCTCAGGTATGTGGTTTCATGCAGCCTCTGTGCTGGAACTGTTTGAAGCAAAGGAGGCTCTGCTGTTTGATGGAGAATTTACCTTCTCCCTCATCTCCTCTCAGTTTCCACACGAATGTCTCCTCTTTGATGCTTCTCCACCACCACCTTCTCCTCTTCCTCTGTCTGCATCCTCTCATCCATCTTTCCTTTTTTTTTTTTTTTTCAAGAGCGCCCCGTCCAGATGGAGGTGTTGGAAATGCATAAGAGGTTCAGCTCATAGCCTGCAGCTCAAAAGCTCAGTTTAACAACAGCGCATCGACAAGTGTTTCATTAGTAATCAGAAGACAAACTCCACCTCACTACTTAGGTACAACACGTCTCAGCCCATTTATATTTACATTTGGTTTTTTTTGGTGCCAGCAGGAGACATCACATAAACACATATAAAAACTTCTATCTGCTTTATCTTAAACTGTTTTATCTTCAAGACGTTATCAAAATGAGAGAAACTTGAAGTTGTAATCATTTGATGCCTCCATTAGAAAGTACAAATGCCATTTTAAAGCCTTGATTCACAAACTGACCACAAGAGGCACCTGTGCCTGTTCATCCAGCTGCAAGAGCCCTGCTGCGGGCATGCAAGTCTGACAAAACAGTGTGATCAATAAAAACTTTTGAAAAACATACATTAAATGAAGCATCCACTCCTCCATTGTTATTGTAGTTACAGAGGTGACTGGTGTGTTCACGTCTGTCTCTGCCACAGTCAGTTCACCGCTGACCTTTCTGCAGAAGAGGGAGGAGAAAAAGACCATTTAGTTTTGTTAAATTTTTTAAATGATCAGAGGACTCGTCTCAGAACAAATCAGCTCCTTCTGTATTTCATATCAACCCAGACATCCTGGGGTCATTTTAATCCTGCTCAGATTGACGTCTCCTGTATGGTGCAATTTTCCAACTTGCACACCTAGCATCTGTACTACAAGGGCCATAAAGAAACAGTGGCGCTGGATGGATTAGATTAAATGATTGACGACGCCTGTGGGGAAATTAGATTGCTGTAGCAGCAACAGTCATCGCAATGGGCTGCAGCAGCAGCAGCAAAGGACAAGCAAGACGTAAACGAAATGTGAAAAATACGCTACGAAAGGGAGAAATTCTGCATTTCAGCAGGTTCTAAAAATATTAGGGTTAATTTCCTCTCTGCTGAGGCTGATTGTAATGTTGGCATTTCTGACATGTTTGAAAACAGGCATAGAGATGAGATTCAGGACCTCCCACAGATCATAGTACATAAGGTTTAATGGCTAGCATCATCCAGTGACAGCCTCAACCTTGCAGTGCTGCAGTTTGCAAATAAATGTGAAGCAGCTAAGGTTTGGATCAAGAGTTTTTGTTTTCTTGTATTATATGTGTGTGTGATGAAATGTTTTGATGTCTTCTTCACATGTTAAGGAATAAATGGAACAGAAACTGGTCAAAAGTCAATGCTCTAAAAGTAGACAGATACATACAGTATATGATGTATTCTTTGTGGGAAGTTGTAGCCTCATTAATTTTTTTTTTACTTTTGTGGGTTGTGTTAACAGATACCTCAGTAAAGAGGACGTGGCCCAGGCCTCACTGACAAAAGCCCAGCAAGAGGGAGGCAGCATCCAACTGGTCACAAAGGAAAAGCAGAGGAGCTTCACCTCTGCCCTGACACCACCTGCTGTACACAGGTAACAAGAAGAATCAGAGGAGGACAGGACTGTTTACAATTATTATAGAAGATGCAGACAAAGTCATGGGGTTGCAGAATGAATCTGACCTGAATTTACTCAACTGCTGTTTAGAACAGGAACAGTTGTAGGCGCTATCTGTATTCACCAGAATTTAGAATTTGAATCACAATTTATCAAATAAACGGACATATATTAAAGACACATTTAACATTTACTCATAATATTATGACTTCAATCTAATTAATTAACACATTTTTTTTCATAATGCCTTTTTCACATAAAATTATGATTTTTTTTCTCAAAACGTTACAACTTTTGTTCTCATAGTATTTTGTCTTTTGTTTGGCCCTAGTACTCATTATTATACACCGTGTTCAGGAAAAAAAAAATATTATCTACTAGGACATAAAAAATGTACTGCAATGTGAATGAAACTGCATTAACTTATGGAGTCACTGAGACCGACAAACTTTCCCCTCCTCAATTAATCAATCGTCAGCATATTCATAACAGATGACCCAAAGAAAAATACTGTATGCCAAGAAAATAACTGTTGCATGAATTAGGTAACAAAAAAATATTAACAAAATAACAAGGTGCTAATTTGCTCAGCCAGAGTTACACTATGACAAAGTAGTACTATGGACTAAATGTGGCTTCCTCAGTGATAGAAACACAGCCAGCCATTATAAATAATAATAATTGTTGTTGGTTCTACAAGATGGAAAGACCACTGTTGTCTTTACAGCTAAATGTTTAATCACTGCATCACTAATGATGAGGACAAAAGAAGATAGAACTTTGGTTGAACTTTTAACTTTTCTGCTCTGGTTCTTCTGTTGTTCTAGTTACTCTTCAAACACATCATAAATAACAAAGAGTTTTGTTCTTGTTTATAATGATAAGGTTTCAGCCTCCTGACATGAAGGTAGTTTGTCTTATTGCGCTGCACTGGCCTCTTTGGGGATTTGTCGTGTTTTCATTTTCTTTTTCTCCATTGGACTCTGCTGAGAACAAAGTGCCTGCTGGGGAAAAAACACAAAAGCCCACTGAGTGTGTTAGTCCAGTAAATATGGACCTTAATGCAATCTACTGAAAGAGACGGTGCAGATCGTACTCACCCCAGGGGGACACAAACACCCACACACACTTTTACACACAACAATACGTACAAAATGTCGGCACACAACACAGTGTAGTGTGGATATTTGAGTGAGTCATGCAGCTTAAATCGATTGAGAATTTTTGGTAAATCCCAACATGAATCAAAATGACAAATGTGTCATTCTCCAAGATGGTTAATTTCCCTTTAAAGTGAACAGCTAATAGTGGTGCCCGCTAACATGCCTAATGATACCAAGGCATTGCTGCAGAGCCAACTTGTACCATAATAGCCTGTGTGTAGACAATATCTTTATACTATAAATTCACTGTTAAATTGTTCATTTGTCTTTTAAAACAATAGTTTATCCTTTTTAGTGTTGTTGTTTTTTCATCTTATTCTTCTTCATTTGACTTTGCACGGCTCTTTGTTCCTCTGTGTGTCAGTCTGAGTTGTAAACCATGAGGAAAGAGAATTTAGTCCATCTGTCACCTTCATACGTGGTTTTGACTCCCTGCTGTGACAACATGGCAAATGCCCAGGCTCACTGCCCGCTGCCAAACACACACGCACACACACACACACACACACACAGCCATATGTCTCTCAACTGTGCATCAAACAAAGGCCTCATTTTCCAGTTACTGTAAAAAGCTTTACATTCACTTTACATGAACGAGGAAACGTGTGCTACAAAGGTTGAAATAATACATCTTTACCTCCCCACGACGTGAAAAACATTTTCTAATCTGTGAGCCAAACCCTACCCATCTGGCACAAAATAATAATAATAAAAAAAAAATCAATTAAACTCAAAGCTGACAGGGATGACAACATTTTTATTGAACTTACATTATTTTTATTCACCAGCTTTGAATATTTCATTTTTTAAATTCCTGGGCGTAACACACATTCCATTGTGTGCTGTGCATCAGTGACAATAATTCATCTTCACTTGCCCGATTTTAATCTTTACCCTCAAGTTTATGTCATCACATTTGTATGAGAACATTACTGATTCTTCTTGATTTTTGTAACAAATGTTAGGTGAAATATTTAATAAAAACAAGTGAAAGATAATATGAGAGGATTGTCAGGAAAAAGTCAGGAGTTAGTAAGAACTACTAAAGCACTGTCTAAATAGCTGTACTTCAGGCAAAAATAATAAAGAAGTATCCAAAATTTAATTCTGCCACAGATTCAGCTAAATATGTTAAATAGTACCAGGACGATGGTTGAACGTTAGACCGTGAAGAGCAGAACCTTAGCCCAAATAAATATTAGCTAAACATGTCCGAAACGAAATATGTCCCTTAGAATCTGTGATTTTTTAATTGTGATTTTAATTTAATTGTGATTGTTTTTATTATACTAGTGTGTGTGTGTGTTTACAGAGAGGAAGTGATGTCAGAAGAGCAAAAGGGTTTCCTGCAGGCTGTGAGCAGTGACGGCGTCCCTCTGTGTCTGTCCTGTCAGCAGAGGTGCTTGTCCTCTGGAGGATCCTGGGACACTCGCTTCTGCAGCCACAAGTAAAATAAACACACAGTTAAAAAACTAAATACAAATATAATAACCAGACAAGCACCTGGAGCTGGGGTGAAAAACTGCACATGCTTTTGTTTGGTCCTAGTCGTTGTTGATAAAACTGCATCTTTAGGCAGCTTGTTTTTAAATAGATAATATTATTTATTTATTACTTTGAAAATAATAGGCTTTTTGTATGCTCCACAAAATAGAAAGAAAAAAAAGGAAATTTCTTTGGTTTTTGCCAGTTTTATTTTTTTGTAGATTAGCGAGTAACTTTCTAACCTAAATCTTATTGAATATTTTATTTTTAGATGACAACTGTTCATGTCATAACAGCCTTTTTATTTTACTTAGTTAAGATGAAAATGTTCACAGTGTTTTCATGAACTGACCCATTGGAGCCAGAAGGAAATAAGTCAGCAGTGTTTCAACATTAACTAATTGCAACTTTTTTTTTAAATTTATGAAATAATGTTAATCTTGTCTGCGTGAAGGAGCAGATTGACAGCCGTCCTCTCTGCAGCTGTCGTTGACTGCAGACAGTCTTTGTTAAATAAATGTTATTGAAGTCACTGTCGTTCCCTCTGTGGCTCAGCTCAGTCCATCTGTCAACAGGAACAAATTCAGTCACACTCTTTAAGAGTTTCAGAGATGGTTTGTGTGCTGGGAAAACAAAGGCAGAACACAGCTGTGGTCACTGCTCCTTAGATTCTCTCTCCATACTAACTGTTGTACTCATTTCACTGTGTGACTGTAATGCCACTGTTCTGAGACTGGACTCAAACACTGTCCTCATGTCCTGCTCCGTCACATTTCATCTACATTCCTCTGATCTCCTCTCTTTGTTTCTCGGAGCCATGCTCTTTTGTCCCTGCGCTCTGTTTAAATGGGAAATTCAATTTTACCAAGTGCATTTAAAGAGACATCCAGTCAAGGTGAGACTCCTCACTCCTCTGTGACTTTAGGGTTTAAAGGGACAGTCCAGAGTTTTTAAAACCTGCTTTTCTGAGGGTTAAACTCAGTCAACCTCTAGTTGTCACAGAATGATACCAAAACAGATTTTAGCAAAAAACAAAAACTACATTATCACAACGTGTAGAACAAGAAAATTATAGTTTGAACACATTTACTGTCCAACATCAATGTTCGAGCTGCTCCTCCAATGCTGCCTCTTGTGGTCAGTTTGTGTTTTTTTTTTTACAGCACTTTTATCTAGACTTTTGCATTTGGTTTTGATCCAGCTCCTCCTTTTTCTTGTTCTATACCTTAAACTGAAAGCATGTTTGAAAGGAACCTGATTTCAGTTGTTAGAATAATCAAAGAAGTTGCCTTGTGTGAAAGAAAACAGCCGTGGCAGGAATGTTTAGACTTTAGAACAGACAGTAACGTACAGAACATAAAGCTAATATCAGCTTTTCCGAAGTGTCACTATCAGTCCTCTTTGTTTGGAAAATTCTTATTATACATTTTCACATCTTCTGGTCTTTTTCTGCAGCAGCAGAAGGAGGATGATCTCAGGTTCTCTCTGTGACATCGTTGTTTGTGTCGTTGCTACACAGGTGTCAGGAAGAGTTCCAGCTCAAGTCCAGTCAGACCTACATGCGTATGCAGGTCCTGAAAGTTGAGCAAGGCATCTGTCAGGCGTGTGGCCTCCACGCACATGAGCTTTTCCTGAAGGTCCGTGACGCTCCACCCTCCCAGCGTAAAGAGATGCTGGAGAACACGTGTCTCGCGCAGCTGTCACTCAAACAGGTCAGACACCAAGACATTGAAAAGTAGATCAAAATATACATGTTACTTAAAACTTTGTTAACATTGTTCATGTGTTTTTGCTGCTGTGAGTAGTACCAACAATTCGGGACAATTTCACAGCACAAAATACTAACAGCTCTCGGTACTTGCTACACACACAGACAAGTTCAAATAAACCTGTTTTTTTTAGCTGAAACCCTGAACCTTTCTCACTCAAAGACTGAGAACTCTGCTAGCAGCCATCTCATACTCGCGCACCAGACACACACACACACACACACACGTAGGTCTTAAACTGGGAATGAGCCTGTAATCTGAGGCTCCTTCACTGCTGCAGCATCTTATCATGTGGCTGAGTTTGTTTCCTCTAAAGCTCGCTGCATCGATTGCTGTTGCTGGAGGCACAGTGGTGTGTGTATGTGTGTGTGCGTGTGTGTGTCTGTAGGCTTTGCAGAATAACAGCCGACCAAATCAAACAGGCTTACTGGTTGAGGCTCGGCACTGGGAGAGAGGAAAAAAATCAATGGGTCCAGCAATCCATTTACTGAGAGCCCGTAGGAGTTCACAAACACTGTGTGTGTGTGTGTGTGTGTGTGTGTGTCTATGGCAATGTATGTGTGTACGCACGTGTGTGCGTAGGTGGCTGGGATGAAGAGCACAGGGTGCTTTTTATTTTTGCACTTGCACAAACACAAAGACAGAAATGTGTGTTGTTGTCAGTGATTTAAGTTCACACCAGGAAAATGTTTTTACTCGGCGTCTTCACTCGCAGCATTAAAGGTGCAGTTCGACCATTTTCAGTTGAATCTAATGTCCAAGGTTATTGCTGATTAAATGTATTATTTTCCCACCAACCAAAAGCATCAGCCACAATAGCCTTTTTACTCGGAGAATCTTCATCTATTTCTGACTTGTGGTTTTGTATGTTTTTACCTATTTCTAGCCTAACTCCATGAAACGTCTCTGCAGCGGTGCCACACTTTTCTTTTTAACACACTTTTTCTCTTCCTCTCCTAAACAGCATGTACGCTGGCTGACTTATTCACTGCATGTTTGTGTTTTGGTGTAACAGATAATTAAAACTCAAAAGCTCACCGTCATTGATTTGCTGCAGTGGTTGTTTTCATCATCTGCTCTGATCCTCACAGTCACACAGACTTACTTTAATCTCAGCATTTAGGCTTTATCAGACGCTGGTTCTTCATCACTCCTCTCTCAACTTCTCTGACTATGAAGCAGAAACATCAACTGCTCGCTTTAATTTTTTTTGTAGGGCACAATTATGTGTCTACATGCTTAACGCTCCTCAGATCAGGAAATATATCAAGCACATGCTGAAGTAAACAGATTGAAGGTATTACATTTCCATGATTTACTAATTTACTTAATTGTGATAGGTGAGTTGAAAATGTCCTAGCGATTATTAAACAAATAACAATAATAAATACAAATTGGTCTGAGAGGATGTAAATTAGAGTGAAATGAAGCTGATGAGAAAATATTTATAACAGCCTGGAGACTTTAGTATATATATATATGTATAATTTTGTTTCCTTCCTTTTAAATCTTGTTGTGTTTTTAATTTTTTTGCTTCTTCTGCTCCTCTTTTTTAGCTGAATGAGATGATCCGCGCTCCTGTGGAAGGAGCCTTCTGGCAGGTGGACCACATCCGGCCCGTGTACAGTGGAGGAGGACAGTGTTCTCTGGACAACCTGCAAACCCTCTGCACCGTCTGTCACAAATCTGTAGGTGCACATCACCTGTGTTAGGCTAACACCCACCTGACTCACCTGAATCTGCAGCTGCAGGACTGAAGAGTCTCTGCTGTGGCAGTAATCTGACAGTCACATAGAGTCAGTTATTTCATTACATCATCTTATTATATGACATAGTGATGAATGGGATTCATAGAAAAATATTATATATCTTTCTGAACAACATTTCTCTCCTGCAGTCAGTATGTCATAATCACAGAGAGTTCACTTGTTGGTCAAGAGATGTTTCAGTTTTTTAAGACTGGTTCTTTGTTTCTGACACGTCATTTGTCTCTGGAGCCAGGAGGTGGACCCAGTCACAAGATGAATTTTAACATCTTAACCCACTGTTGGACAGACAGTGGTTCGTCCAGAGTGGGTTATCTTCATATATGAACGAACTGATGGAGGCAGCAACAGATAAACAACTCCTCCCAGCCTTTTGTCAGTTGTCGTAGAGATACGTCACACGCTGACGTGTGTAAATTAATGTGAAGAACTGCGTCTGCAGATAAGAGGATTCTCTGGGAGTTTGTGACACTTTTGTCTGGAGATGCTAGATATATATTGATCGGACACTACTCTTCAAATTTGTTTTATTTTTCTTTCCACAGAGAACTGCTCAGCAGGCCAAAGACCGGAGTAGGAGAAGGAGGAGCGAAGCTGCCATTGCTGCCACGTCAGACATCAGTAGGTTCTTCATCAGGAAGTGAAACAACACAAACGTGCCATTAGGTTACACTGTGTTTGTGTGTCTGTGCGACAAACTTACTGATGTCTGTTCTGGCAATTTGGATGAAGACATGATACAGAAGCAAAAGAATTTTAAGAAACTGTCCTGATTAAATCACTGTAGAAGTTGCTGTAACAATTAGGCTCTATGTAAAAAAATAAATAAATAAAAACCAGTGACAACTACTGGATTCTAATTTCTTCCTTTGCGTCCCCGAACCGTCAGCGGCAGCGGTTTTTGATTTATGGCGGCCCGGTTTTTCCGTTGGAGGCTGAATTGGAGCAGGTTGTTTAGAGAGATGCTGCTATTTTTGGTTTTTGCAAACTTGGTGAACGGGAGCAGGTGAGAGATGAATGAGGGGGTTGGTGATTAAAAGCAGGGCCTGGTGTCCTTGTTGGCAACAAGTCGCGCTCCTGTGTGTCATGCTGAAAAAAATATATATAAAAAAATTAATAAAATTATATAAAAAAATATATAAAAAAATTAATAAAATTATACGTGTGTCATGCTGAAAAAAAAATATATACAAAAATTAATAAAATGATATATGAGACACGGTAAGGTCTAATTTCTTCTGTTTTTGTGGCAATTTAGAAGAGCATTGATAGATTTGAACAAAAATATGTTTTTATGTTTGTTTGTTTTTTTGTGCTAACTAAGCAATTTCTGTCTTTTTTTCCAGATTTATAGCTATTCTAGGTTCTACCTTTTGACATTTTAGTTGAGTCCAGTTGGCACTTTTATTCTCAAATTCTAAAAATTGTAAAGCTCCTTTATGGCTTTTTATCAGGGCAAACCTTTTTACTTGACTGAATGTGACAGATGCCTTCAACGTCTGTGATCAGGAGACTCATTGACCATGCATCATCATCATCATCGTCTTCATCGTTATCATTCTTGTCTTGATGATTCCAGCTAAAGTCAGTCAGGAGTCTATGTTTAGAAAGACGGCAGAGCAGGGTTTCCATGGCAACAAAACTGCCAAGAATATTGAATTTGTTTGTAGAGAGGAGAAGACAGACATCACCCAACGATCAATACCTCGGCGGCCATCACATTCCTCCACAGTGTGGCCTTGTGTCACACACACTGTGTCACCTTCACCCTTTGACTGTAAAAGAGAAGCCTCATACACTTAAATACCGGTTCTTTGCCAGGCATGTCCAAAGAAATGGCTCAAAGACATTTTTTTTTCTCTAAATGTAACATACATCTAGACTGCTGTAAAATATATTATATTTTTGACAATTTAAAAACAAATTAATGAAGATATGAGTTTAAAATTGAAAATTGAGTTTATTTTCTACAACTTGTTAAAAACAAAATACAGGAAATAGAGAAGTTCAGTATTTATTTCCAGCATTTTAGTAGCATTGGCATGTTTAACCTGTTTTTTTTTCAGGATTCATCACCTCAGTGGACCCAAACTGGCTCCTTTATTCATCTGATTGGTTCCTGCACTCTTACTTTTATCATCCACTTGGTGTTGTTTACAGCAGAGTGAACTTCAAATCCTCACATGAAGCAGCAGTGGTGAGTAGAGTCTTAGAGGTTTTTGTCCCTTCACAGCACACTTTGGTAATAGGTTTATCATTTAGTCAGAAAAGCAAAGGCAGAAATAACACTCCAGGTGCTACAGAGGAGACATTTTAGAATTAAAGAAAATGCTAATCCCCAAATAGCTGAATTCTTAGCAGCAACTGGCAAATGTCAAGGAAGGAAGGAAAGTAAACTACATGTCATTGTGACATAGCACACCGTGAAATGTGACCCCCGCTTTTAACCCATCACCAAAGTCA